AGGCTGCCCGTGTGCATAAATATGCCTAAGTGGTTCATCGGAATAGTCCAAGAATCTTCAGCACCTTCCTAGACCAAGCTTTAGCTTCCAGTACTTGCTTATGTTCAGCCTGCAATCAGACTGAACCCACTTCACTTAAAACCATGCATTTGCACAAGTGCTAAGTATAATTTCATAGTAACTTGCACTTACTGGAAATAAATTTTCTTAACTTGAAGCTTTTGAATTGTATTTGCTGGGCTAGTAGTTAGAAAAATCTATCTTCTAGCTTATAAAATGATCAAATTTGATCTGTAAGCTACTGAAAGAGAATGACCTTGGCAACAGTGCTTTTTTGAGAGTCACTTTTCTGATTAAAAACACACTTTAAGAGGCAATAATATGAGAAAAAACAGGAGTTAACTACTCAAGGTCAAATTTTCCTAGAAAGTCTTTTAATGCCTGGTTACAGACAATAAACTGCACAGAAGAAATAGAAACATTTACAAAGATGCATCTAGTCCAACTGAAAATGATAGATCTATATTACCTAATTATTCATCTGAACATAATGATTCTCAGTTGCCTATGCAAAGGATTATAAGACTTTAAGAAAATGTGGGAAGAGGTTTGCAAGTGTAAAAGATAACATGAGAAGAGAGCTCCCTTTTTCTTATTATTTTGTATGTTCTCTTATTTTGTTTCTTTTAAGAGCTGTATAGGTGGTGTTTGAGAATGTCCCTTAAAAGCTGTATAGACACCTGTCTACACAGGTCTATAAGGAAGAGAAATGAAAGCCACGTGAAAACTTCCTGAAATACTACCAAATCCAGAATTTCCTGTATGTTAAACCATAAGCTTTTTTCCCACCAACCCCCTAAATTCCTTGTTGGTGTTTGGTTGTCCTTCTGTAGCTTCTGGTCCTCCTAAGAATGAGAAGCCTATCTTTTATCTGTTTGGCATGCGAAAATGCATTTTTATCCTCTCAATTATTTTTAACGCATGTGAGAAAAAAAGCCCAGAAGTTGGTGAATATTTATTCAGGCTGCTTTGGCAGCATTTCATTATTTAAGACATAAATCAGAATTGGAATTTCTTTTTTCCTGGGGGACAAATTGTTTATCTGAATTTGAATGTGCTTGTGAATCGGTCACAGGGATTGTACTTGTGCTATTGCTGTGTAATAGCAATTATTTGCACTGTTTTACATTGTTTTGCGCTATAGCGTTAAGGTAGTCAGGCTGCACACAGATGCAGAGTACATCTGCAGATCACTGCAGGATCAGAGCCATGGACCTCAGTCCTCAAGTTATGTGCATGTTTATCAGCACACATTCCACTAACATTAGGAGAACTCTTCCAGCAGGTGAAGTTAAACAGTGCATGAGTGGTTTGTGGGGTCTGGGCCCAAGATTATTCCCAAGACATAAGCCCATTGAAGGATCAGAGCTACAAGGCTTGTTCACAAAGAAATGCTTAGGAGGAGATATCTAAATAATTTTGTGAATTGGCTACTAGTTCAATCTATCTCCCCGTTTGGCTCTGTGGCTCTTAGTTAACATTTTGACATTTATGAGACTTTTGTACAGGTATAGTGGGTTGCAGCTTCATGCCCTTGGAAATGGACAATGCATTCCTTGTGTCCAGAAATCTCATCCTGCATTAGCAGCTTTGGGAGTGGAAAGAGAAGAGGTTTATTCCTTTAGTAGTATCTGCCAAAGATATTTAAGGACACACAAAGGCGAGTGCTTTCCCAACGGAGTACACAGTTACCTGTTTTGCAAAGACAATCCAGACTTACTTTTTATACTTCTGAGCCTGGCAGTGTATATATAGTGCTTTCATTCACACACAGTGAGCATTGACTTTTATCATATTATTAGCATTCTAAACTGACAGTTTCAGAGGTTTATAACTCAACAGTAGGTTTAGACTCAGTAAATTCAGCCCAGGAGCACTATTTTTCAGTGTAAAAGATGTCTTTAGTTACTACAGTATCAAGCAAAGCGGACCTTGCTTATTTCAGGCTTTTTTAAAGGTCTTGGATTACAAATTAAAAAAAAAAAACCTCTTGAAAAAATGAATTGCTACAGAGTTTCATTCTGATGTCCCTCAGATTGCTAGCTTACTTTGATATAATTGGAAAAAAAATTGAAAGGGCTGAGTGATAGGCATTTAAAATCAACTCCTGAGAACTCATAATGGACCATATTCCATATATTCCTGTGCAAATCTCACTGACATCGGTGGATGCATTCTGTACACATCCTATTTTTAAAATCCTGCATGCATAATCACCGTTAGCATTGTTACAGTATCTACCGTGGGTGGGTGCAACTCTGAATGCAGATTTGTACTATCAGCCATAATGGTTCTCTCCTGAGAGAAATTCAGAAAGCTGTTCATAAACTGTTCTGGACTTTTAGGTAACTAATCCCGTCTCACACATACACTCTCAGGTACTTTTTGTTAAAGAAAATCAAACACTTCAGAATACATATTTATATGACAGACACTGTTCCAGTCTGTTGGATAAATTATATGCATTTTATAACATTCACTTACAGAGATGTATAGGTTTGTACATATTATAGTAACAGCAAAATAATGTTAAGCTTATGATATAAGGTGACATGAGCCCAGAAAATGTCAATGCCAAGTACACTGTACTAGATGTCAGATGTTTTCCTTTCTTTCATAAAACTCTGTATGAAAGAGAAATTTTAATTTCAGTTGGTTGGGAATGGTACATATGTATTACAGCCTGATCATTTTTCAAGCGTGAGATATTTTGTGTTTAATTAACATTACTTCTGTGTGTTTAGGTAATTACCCTTAGAACACATGAGGACATATTGTACTTATTGCCTGTGCTAGAGCATAATGTGCTGGACTACAACAACTACACTTGTTAAGCTGATTTTAGCATTTCTTCACACAGCAGGAAGCACCCATGCTGTGGTTTCTTAATGTACTCTTTAACTACTGCACTATAGAGTACTGTACAATAAAAATAATCATTAATTATGATCCTCATCTTACCAGTACTGCTGCTATCCCAGTGACCCTGGTCGCTGTTTCAGGGTTCCACTATGCTGCACCCTGAAACACATATCTTTTCTTTCAGAGTTTTATTTCTTAGATGACATTGCTGAACAGAGCTGAATTTTTTGAGGATAGGTTTGTTGCATGGATTGTGATGGCTTCACATTTGTTCAGGTCTCCAAGGACCAGCACCAATAAATGTGAGAGAGACAACAGAAGAATGGCATACTTTCCCATTTCCACCAGGATGAAAAAAATACTCTAAATTAAGTCTAACCTTAAATGTATAATCTGTCCTTGGAAGAAAAAAAAAAAAAAAAAAAGGATATAGCATCTTCAAGCTCTTGGCATCCCTTACGAGAAGAAATTGGTTCTAAGGGTCTCTGATCTTGTGTTTTAGTAAAATAGAACTGCACGGCTGACTGACAGTTCTGATCTAAAGCATTTACGTTTAAGTTTTGATCTCTCTGCTTTTGATTAAAACTAATGAGCTCATTTAATTCAAAATGGGAATCTCTGATAAGAGAAATAAGGTTGATGTGATTGGATTAGAGGGGCAAATTAAACTCTTAGAGCAGAAGTTTGTGCTTATATAGTGTATTAAAAAGCTGTTGGCGTATTATGGCGTGTTAGATGATGAGAAAAATTTCATAGTAATTCATATTTAATCAGAAGAAATGAAAGTACTAAATATAACATGGCTCTGCTTTTCCCTCGAGTGATAAAGAGCTGTACATTTAAAATGACATCAAATTCATGCTCTCTAAAACAAAAAAATCTTAAGAGAGACACTAAAGAAAGAGGCACTGTTGTCAGTTATTTCATCACAATAGAGTTGAAATGTCACAAACACAAGACAACATGACCACATTAAATCGAGGACAATTCGATATAATCCTTAGCTCACAAACAAGTGTTTGTGTTTCTGTTGACTGCATAAACAAATGCTTTTTAAATACTTGAATACTTTCTACTAGTAGTCTGGTCAGTTCTCCAAAACAATAGCAGAATAATTTCAAAATAACTTTTTTATTCAGTGTTAATTACTCATTGAAACTGAAAGTTAGTTAATCTCCAATAATGCTTGCTTATTGTAAGCTGCTCCAGAATTCTCCCATGAACAGTATTTTGGGGAGAGTTTGGTTATCGGGGCTAAAAATAGCAATAATAAAAATTGTATACAGAATATCTCAGTGCTGACTGGTGTTATACCTACTATTTTATCATGGTTTATACTAAGTACTTATTTACTGTTTCAAGTGGTTGCAGTTAAGGGAGTGAGAAGCACAGGTGAGATCTATAGTTTCAAGGAGGAAATATCTCTTCAATTGGACTACAAAGGCATTTCATTAGTGACCAATTAGTCACCAATAATTAACAATGATGATGATGATGATGGTGACAATAATAATAATATGTGTCATTTACTTGAGCATTTTTGCCTTCAGGCTACTCGGTGCTTTATTGATGATAATTAACCCTCACTAATGGGGAAACCAAGGCACTCAAAACCAGCAGTGACTCACCCTAGGTGTCACTGCAAGCGAGGAGTGGAGACCAGGGAATAAAAGCTTGCAGAATTTGCAGCCTCTTTCAGCAGACAGAATTGCTTCCTCAGTGAGACTTTGCCTTTCCTGAAATACTGAAGAACTCCACTGTTTTTAAAACAATGCCATACCCTAACAAAATAACTCCAGTCGTAACAAAATTGTGCAAGAAAGAGTTAATGAGACAAATCTCTGTTAAAAATTCTATGGGAAAAATAACTTGAAAATGAGACTTACTGAGTATACATATATTTTTCAATTTTTTTTTGCTAAGTAAACGTTTTCTAAACGAGGTAAATTGATTACAACACTCTTAGCATCCATCAGTCATTTATTTTTAGTGAGTTCAAGGATTGCACCTGAAAAATAGCTTAGAGGGGATGTATAAATTCTAAATTATGTGTATATGTATTTTTTTCTATTCCCTAGTGGAATCTACAAGCCCCAGTTTACTAACCACTGACAACACTCTAGAGCGCTCTTTTTTCATCCGAATGAAATCTACACTGACCAAGCGAGGAGTGCACATCAAATCGTCAGGATACAAGGTAAGGGTTGCACTGTGGCATGAAATATTGACATCTTTAAATTATGTTCATCCATGTTCCAGGGACACATTAATAGACAGAGAAAGGAGCTATTTCACATTTGCATATGTTTCATTCCTTTTGTTAAAGAACCATTAATACAGTTATTTCCAGCCTGAGGTTTGGCTTTGGTACTACACCTCCATTAAATTGATCGTTATTACAATAAACATTGATGAGAACAGCATGGTAGCCTTCAGAAGAGCAACACTTGCGGACTAAAGGTATATTTTACCAAAGAAGGTGAGTCACAGTAACATCACTTTTCCATAGTGGAAAATTACTGCTCATTTTGTTAGACTGTTAGTCGTCTTTGGGTTATGTGTTTCCCAGAGAGGTAGGATTTCTTCATGCAGACAGTATGCCAGAGCTATTTAATTTCGCTGCTGTTCTGGCTGAAGGAAACAACAAGCCACAATGAGTACTTTTCCACCATTTTTCTTTCATTGTCTGTCTGAGGGGCATCTGCTGCTGGGGATCATATTTGCTGGATTTCAGACTCTTTTAAGATATGAAAGTCTCTTGTTCCTTATCAGCAGTAATCTCATTTTTCTTCAGTCATATATCGCTCATAGTGCCTGTAGCTATCAGTGGCTTTGCAGTATACTAAAACTAGAAGGAATAGCACATTTTTAACATTGTCAACTTGTGGAATGAAATATGTCATCCATTAAGTATTATACAAGATAAAAGAGCGGTGCAAGAAAGTAAGTCTGAGAATGTGTGTGTATTTAAGGAAGTTGCTTGTCAATGTTCATTTAAAAACTTTCAAAAGCATTTTTTTCAGTTTTCAGAGGAAGATTTAGAGGAGCTTTGTAGTAAAATTCCCCAATTCACTTATCCCAAAAAATTCTCTGTGAATATAACATTGCAGTAGTCTACCTGAGCAGTAAAAAACTGGTAGAAATGTCTTCTTTGCAAGCAAATGACTGGGAGTCCTTCTGTTGCATAGTTTCTGGGACAAGATGATTACAGGAGTTGCTAATGGAAGTTTAGGTCCAAATCAGTGGTTTCTTAAGGCACCAGAAGTTTTGATCTGTGTACTGCTTAATTGTCAAGACCTGAAAGAACGCACTCAGTGCTTGTTCACGCTGACCGGTTGACAAGTCTCAGAAGGTATCAAGGCCAGGCAGTATACTGGCAGTCTCAGGAGGAGGAAGGCAAATGAATGAATGAATGGGCAGGTCATTGAAGTTATATTCATGATCAGGCATGGTCCATCCAGGCTAGGCCAAAGTTAGGTTGGCAGAGCACTTGCTTTGCTGGATATTTTCACTGCAATAGTAATGGGAAAAAATAGACAATTTGTCTGTGGATTTTGTAGTCTGACATTTTTTGCCAGATGTAGGTGAGAACAAAAGGAAGACATGTGAGTGACTTTGTCGTTCTCTCTTCTTGGACTCCTGACAATCTAATGTTAGTCCAGCACCAGAATAGGACATATCTAGAATGGGCTGGCTTCACAAGGTGGGTTTTTTACTCGTTACAATACAGGTTTTGAAATTCACAGTAGACCCTTTACTCAAAAGAAAGACATAGTGATGTCTATCATATAAATACGATTTCGTTTCTCTTTTAGACCTGCTGATGCCTCATGGAAACATTGAAAACCATAACTGAGATGTCACAGATAGAGCAGAATGAATTTTGAAAGATTAGATATCATTTTTTAGCCAGCTCTTCCTATACACAAAGAATGGTTAAAAAGAAAAAGTATGATGGTCAACAAAACTGTAAATAAAACATTTGTTTTTTTCCAAATTTTTCCATGAGGCATCGGCAAGTAAACAGTGTGCAAGTCCTAGGCATATGTAAATATAGAGGCGTAGTTCTTCTGCTTTTTGATGTTTTCGAGGATTTTGTAACTGACAGTGTTTGGCTGAATTCAGCTGTGTCCAGCCATATGAATTGTACTTCAACAGTTTTTCAGAAGCATGGTTATTGGCACTCTATGTTCTATGGAAGGATAATTATCCACAGCCTCAGTGAGCCCCAGAAAAATTGTGTATTCATTTTAGAAGAGCTGGATCACGTGAATGTCTTTTTAACCGAGTGTTAAGAACTGCTTTGTTTAAACATCATTCTCAGTTGGTGTATTAGACAAGCATAATAAAACTCAACTGCTATAGTGAATGTCATTCACACTTTTAGGAATGTTACCAATTTATTCATTGATTTCTAAAAGTCCAGTGCCAGAACAAACTTAAGGCTTCTTGAATTTGTTCAGGTATATATTTTATTAAAATTAAGAAAGATTCATGAGCCTTATGGATGTACAGCTATAAGAAATTATCAAAGGGAAGAATAGTTACATAATATTGACAAAGCTCATGAGAATAGCTGGCTAAGTTCTGCATCAGAGATCCCTGGAAGACCTCCAGCACTTACTCAGGAAACACTATGCTAGCTGGGGTTATGTGCAGCAGAGTTCCTGTGGGAAATCCTGGTGGAGTGGGCTGACTCAGGAGCTGCTGTCTCACACCTTCAGAATACAACAGAGCACTGAATTTTCCCTCTGCAAAAAGCAAGGTCTCCTGACTAACAGCTTCCCTTGAGCTCTTGTGTCATTGTGGGTGGGTAACCCTCCTGAATCAGCATACAAACATTCATCAGGAGCAGTGTGCTGGGAACTCCGTATCCTATGTGAGTCAGGTTTTAGCTCTGTCAAAGGTACTCAGCCCCCCATGGATTCAACCCTCCAGCAGTGACAAAATTTTTCATCTTTGTGAAGTGGTTGTGTCTTTTTCCAAACTCTTACTGAGCTCAGAACCACATCTCCGTATATTCCCTGCTTTGCGGACTGCTGATGAATGGTTTCTTTAGACAGCAAATGATCGAGGTGGTCCACAAGATGCTTAGCCAATTTTCAGAATGAGTGATCCCTGCCTCAGGAAAATCACATAAAATTGAAAACAGTCAGAGAATGAGATTGATTAATCATTTGGGTTGATCTAGTCAGGACTAATTTTCTGTCAAAAGAAATGTTGGAACAAAACCCATGCTGGTAGACTTACACATATGTATACCTCAAAGAGACCCTGTTCCAGACCATTCTGACATGAGATGAACTGTGTTTATAGTCCTTTCCTGGGCTGATTTAATTAGTCCTGAATTATACCTAAAGATGGAGGTAATGGCCTTTTTTCCATGAATGGTATTACCTTAAAAGTCTGAAATGGGAAGGTGGTTACATGATTAATCCTACCTCTCTCCTTCCCTTTCATTGTTTCTCAGCTCCCTCCTTGAATCTGATTTTCCCTATTCATAATATTCTTAGGCTCAGAGCTTGTAGGAAAAGAGTGTACATACAGTGCTAGGGAACTATTCTGTTTTCAGTGAGTAAATCTACGATCTTAAAAAAAAAAAGTCAAATAAAATGTAGTTAGCTGATAAAAAACATTGAAAACAAATAAAAAGAAAAAAATTATAATTCCATTCACTGAAAAACTCAGAGTTTATTACTATTACAGCTGTTGTCTAAGATACATGATACAGACTTACTGTTTTTTCTGCTGAAAACGTATCACATCTTTTTTTCATTTTTCTTTCACCAATAAAAGATAGCTTTGTATTTCATTTGGATTTTTGTTGTCTCCATTTTATCTCCCTGTCCATATGTTTTCCTCCATTTGAGGGTCACAATTCTGTCCACTTAACAGTTATCCCACCTTCAACGTTTCTGTTGTCCTACTTTCTCAGACATGTCAAAGTGAATTTTAATTGAAAACTACTTTGTTCAAGTCCAGTGATACATTTCCTGCTACCCTGTAGTATCCTATTACTGTTTTGTCACGTTTACTTTCATGTCAGATTGTGCTAGGATTTTCTTTGTTCAAACCTTTAGGGCCTGATACTGGTCTCTTGAACAAAGCATAATTAATGGGATGAAGAAGTAGTCAAAGCATCGAACATCATCAGAGCCGGTAGTTGCCAGTAGTCTCCAGTTCATCAGCTCATCAGATGTGTTAGTATATATCCATACGTATTCCTCTACTGTTTTACGGAGTAGCCCTCTCATGGTAAGCTATTACAGAGGTGGATAAGCAAACATGAGGAGATTCCCTTGTACTTTTACTGTCACTGTGGCAATCTCTGAATTTGGTATTACCAACATCTATTGCCTCTCCATCTCCCAAGAAGCTGGCAATCAACCTTCTTGGCAATCCATCAGCAGAGTCAAGGGCATCTTAAAAATCCTTCAGACTGTACCTTCCTACTTGGAGTGGTACTTTCTATCTGCTGTGCTACCTAGATGCCTGCTTTGGCTCATTCAGTGTCAACAAGAAACAGTCTCCATGTCATTAAAACATCAAAGTCATTGAGGTCACAAGGCAATGAGTCTACTGCAGACTCTTCAGTGACTGGAAGTAAATGTAGCAGCTATCATGCACTGAGCAAAATCTTACTTACAACCTTAGACTTCTGAGCCTGTATTCTTGAGAAAAGAAATATTTGCTAGGTTACTCAGCTACTTCTGCCTTGAAGTGAGGCCTTGGTGTCTTTGAAAAGTGCCTTGGGATTATGGAAAAGCACATACATAGTCTTTGGAGGTGAATGAAATGGACTTTGTTTCAGCTATTTGTATATGACTTTCAGGAGTTCTGAAGTCCTTTAATATGGCACAGAAGTGTTAGCACTGGATACGAGTGTAAGCCCTGCGTTGCTGCTTTACTGAATCACAGCTCTTATCAATGCCAGGAGCAGGTATTTACACCTGTTTTTCTCTCTGGTGTTCTTCATGTGCAAAAGAATTGTGGAAAGTAAGCATGCTTAAACAAACTGACCAAATTGCAATGAAGGGAGCAAAGTTAACTTCATTGTTTATTAAATCTCAGAGAACTGTTAAACCTAACAGCATAATCTGAAGTACCAGTGGACATACTGCATAAAAATAAGTAAATTGCTATATAAAAAAATTGGTTTAGCAAGTTTAGTTTAGAAATTTTGATGTTTTGTTGTAC